GAATTTTTTGGCCAACCAAGAGTTCAGTGTCAACCATATCCCATATCTTCCCCTGCCTGTTTCTGGGCATGATATGTGTTCTAATGAGCTTGAGCTCTGGTACAAATTTGCTGCTGTCTCTGCTCATCCACTACATTTCGTCCAATATTCTAACTGTAGCCTCTCACGATATATCTGCCTTTGTTCATTCATACTGCTTTCTGACAGCAGATGATACTAGAACACTTGCGGAAGCTCATGCTGTGAGTACACAGGTCTCGTCTCGCCAAGATCTACACCTCAATATCCTGAAAAATCACCAGTGTAATGTGAATTGTCCTGGCTGGCATTTGTACCTGCTCTTTCAACGGCTAAATCATAAAAGGCGACTGAATAGTAGAGTTAATTCACCATCTCAATGCATCCACTTAATATTTGGTATTCAAACGAGAATGATTTTCAGGAGGCAGGTGTTGTCAACATGGTCTCTCTGAACATGCAGTTTCAACTTGTTCACTGTGGTTCAGCTGCAGAACTCGCAAAAGTCGCAAGTTCTTCTGATCAAAATTACATTATATGCCCCATAAGGGATGTGGCTCGCTTCGTATCAGTGTTCGCTCCGCTTACGGTGAGCGATCTGAGAGCCTTGGCGGTTTGCCACCATTTGCCAGCAATGAGTAGGAAACCCAACCTTTTAGAGGCACTGTTGAAACATTCATGTCAATCAATCTGTGAACTTGACTGCTTGCTCTTCAAGCCGATATTAAGGCCTCGATTGGGTCCTTTCATTGTGCGCACACTGCCTCCGGGCACTCTACAGCTCACAGCAAACCAAGTTGAGCAACTAAAACATGGGAGCAAGATAACTCTGTGCATCCCTAGGACGACGTAGTGTGACTGTGGTGGTAAAGTGGGATAGTCTCGAAGCTCTTTAATCTTACTTGTCTGAATCTGTTGGACATTTCATTAGAAATAATTATAAAATAACATTTATCTGTCGGACTCAATGAGAGCAACAAACAAGTAGGTTTGAAGATGCCTTCATACCTATAAGAATTTCTCTAACATCTGGTGGCCTCAATGTGAGGTGGTCGACGCGCGAGTGAACCTTTGAGCCGTGGTTCCAGTGCCTCTAATTCTAATACAAACTTCAAGTCGACGTTATCGAAGAAATGAAACATTTATTCAACATGAATGGAAGCCAGCACAAGAAGTTCTCTGAAACCATGAAAATCAGGATGGAGGGCCAAGTTCAACTGGGTGGATTTGGAGCTTGGTGTGGAAAAAGGTACCAGGGGTGCCCGGAGGGCCTTGGTATTGCACCTTGGAATTCAGGAATGTGGGAAGTGTGTGGTCCCATATGAGAAACCTAATTCGCTGGTATTCAAGCTGCTGTGGATCAAGGTGGATGGCCCTCTCATGGTTCTGCCATTACAACCATGTGTGAGGACGGCGTGGGTTCAAATCCTACTAGCAGCATCGGGTATGTGTATTTGTTTTGACTTTTTTTTTCCTTTCCTTTTCTTTCTCGTTATTATTCTGCTCTCGACTTCGACCTTCACTCGCTCTTTCCAAGCTTCCAACGCTACTCAAACTTCGAATCAGAGCCCATCACCGATTCATTGTTCTTCCGGCAAAATACTACAAATCTCATCACAAGTGGCATGGCAAGCAGAAGCAGAACTTCTCACTCGATGTTGCCGAGATGTGAACTTGCTCTCTTGCATCCATTTACTCGTCTGCAAAGAGAAATTCAAAAAGCTGTAAGGGCTGACCCGAGCCCAAATCAAACGCCGAACGGGCACCTTTTCCCAAGCTGGGACTTGAGAAATAATTTCCGAAGTATCGCAGACTCTGCGGGCCAGCCACGATCGGGTCTGTATCTCAATCTCGCCATTGAGGAGGGAGGTTGCAATGCAAACAAAACCATAATTGCAGTGTGTTTCCGCTTTGAGGGAAAAACGAAATAGAAAGTTGAGATCTATCCCCTAAGGACATGCAACGCTGAAACCAGATTTTTATTCACTTCTATTCCCTCCGCCTTCCCCGAGGGATTGGCATCGAAAACAGTATAGGTAAATAGGAAAACAGACGACACGGCGATCACGACCCGAGCCCGAATCAAACGGGCAGCTCCTAAGAAATTAGAACAAGTATCGCAAATGCGAGCAGCAAACGGGTCTGTATCTCTCTCCATTGGGCGTTACAGGACGATTACGATTCAACCGAAATTCTTACTTCTGACTTTGCGCACAAGCTACTTATCTCGTTGAGCTGGAAGAATGGTTCTTCATTGCAAAGGAGGTCTATCCCACATTCGTCATATTCACAGAGGTCAATAAGCCTACTAGAGGTGGGCAGCGAGTCCGGTTGCGTTTCAGGGCGGGTTAAATGAGACGAATGAAATAAGAACGATGCATGGGAATAGGATAAAGCTGCTCAAGATCGCGATGACTGAAGACTGAAGATTCATCATGGATCGATTAGGTGAAGGTGCATACATGGATGACTGCGTAACATCAAGAAAGGAAAACGTGATTTTTCTTCAACGATCAGACAGTGGAGAATGATGGTAGTGTAGAGGAGAAAGCGGTGGGAAGGGAGGGGTGTAATGAGTCCGCTGGATTTTGGTCAAACGGATACTGGGTATAAAGATGAAAAACGTACGACTCAAGCGGAAGACAAGGTCTTCGCAGCCTTCGCCGCTCGCCTCTCCTGCTCCTTCCACACAGCCGCATAAAGTTCCTCCGTATCGTCAGGAAACTGGTGGACCGCGCCCTTGATAGGAGGGTACCGAGTGAAGGCTGCGAGGAAATCGTCATGCGAATCAAAACCTCCTCCGAAACGCTCCAAGTAGTCCGAGGCAGTGTTAAGATAATAATACTTGCCGGCGGCCTCAAACGCGACACAGGGATCGACGTCGGGCAGGTACGCGAGTGGGCGGATGGTGCCGGCTACTTTCGCAACTCGCTTGACGAAGAATTCCATCATGGTGAGGTCGTACCACATCGGATGGATGTCAAGAAAGGTTTGACGTTGCCATTTCTCCCAGTCGCACGAAAAGGGGTCGAGGTCGAGTTTGGTACGGTAAAGCTCAGCGAAACGCTCCCTTTCGCGGCGAGCCTTCTTCTTGGAGGAATATTAGGCCAGGAGTATCATTGATTTCGGCTTGAAGCCTACTTTATCCGCAGGCTGGGCCGATGTGCTGGTCTGCGACACGGTGGACAGAGAGCGGGTGATTCTGCGGCAAAAGTCAAATGTGAGCAAAGGAAAGTCGGAGAAGGATTAAGCACCACTGAGAATGGCGATAGGGCAAGATTTGAGGATGGAATGGCATACGGCGCAGAGTTAGCATGGTGGCGAAAAGGAGAGGGTGACAGAAGCGTGACTACAGCTGTCACGAGGCACTGAGCACGTCGGTCATCGCTCCCCCTCCACGCTTCCCAATCATTAGTCATCAATATTTGGCGTGGGCAACTGTGTTGAGTTGGTTTTGAGTGTAATGTCAGTCAGAGCCTGAGTCCATTTGATACTTAAAGCTTGTAAGGCTGACAATCGACATTAAGACACGGTTCAGCATTACAGTAAAAGGTGGGTAAACTCGAAGTAAACTATACGATTTTGGCTAGCGAGATCTAAAGAATGGGATCGGAACTTACTAACTGATGAACTCAACAGAAATGAAGAAATTTTCAGTGACCGGTTTGATAAAACTAACAAGACATGCTGGAGCTTCGTTCCGCCTGGTTACTCACGTCTCAAAGATACGAGTTTATGTAAAATTTGACCCACAGAAGGGATGGCTGGGCATGAATATTGCAATTACACCGTAACTGTGTTAGCCTAATCTTCTGCCATTGTGATCTATGTGCTGAGTCAAAGGGCTGCCCGCGACAGCATGAAGGATGAGATTTAAACCATATTCAGCTCAGGGATAATCGTCACTGAAATCACCGGTAACCGGTTCGATGCCACTGAAAGGCTTGCTGACTCGAAGATACTTCGCCAGCGGGACGACCAAGAATGTTGAGAAAGTTTATGGTGCAGGATAATGGCAGGGGCAAGCTCATCGCGTGCCGGAGAAACCTCAAACGAGCTAAGGACACTTGAAAACATTGCCTGTCCCTCGCCTTTCTCAACCCAAACAGATTAGTCGACGATGACAATCCATATACGAACGGCGCCATTTAGTAAATTTAAACAAATTGAATCGGAGTCAATCAGCTGGGAGGCGCGATAACGAAGTGTATGCTGACGCCCCATGTCCTCCGAGTCAAGTCTGCGGAAATTTATCGCGAAGTGCTGCTGGTACCATGGAGTCAGCAATGTTGATACTAGAAAGACACAGTAGAAACTTGAGTCGAGTTGCACAGCTTGCAATTGAGTTGCGCGTGACTCGGTGGCTGAAATGGGTTTGCTACAACGCTGTTATGGCTCAGTGCAGAGCATCCTCCTCAGTTCATTCATCTCCAAAAATGCTGTGAGGAAAGAGTGGGTTCGAATCCCACCAGCAGCATTTGGTCTCGGTATGCGGCCTCGCCAGTTAAATACCAATAAAGTGTGGATGTTTCTCTATGTCTGTGTCCAATGTATGTATTTTCCTCATACCAGCTGCGATTGTAACATGTTGCAGCTTCTTAGTCGGCAACTCTGAATGTGTGTGGTATAGCGAACCTAATTCAATGGTATTCAAGTTGCTGTGGATCGGGTGGATCATCCTCTTCTGCTCCATAATGAGCTCCGTGATCTGTGAGGAAGGTGTGAGTTTGATTCCCACCAGCAGCATACCAGTGTTGTGTTTTTGTTTTTCTGTTCTTCTTGTTTGCCAATGGTTTTTTCTCACCGCACCCACACCTGTGCTTTCCGTGTAAACCCAGGGAAATGAATCCAACACATGTTGGGCTTGAGTTCTGAAGTACCTGAATTGGCCTACGGTACAGATGCACTGTCTGGATATACATAGGCTGTGTTGGGGACTCGAGAAGTGTGTGGTATAAAGAACCTAATTGAATGGTCTGCAAGCTGCTGTGGCTCAATTGCAGAGCATTCTCTCAATCTTGGTTTGAAAAAAATACTTGTGAGGAAGGAGTGGGTTCGACTCCCACAAGCAGCATGCCGCCTACACAGGTCCAGGGTTTGTTTTTCTTGGCCTCTGGTCTCATCCCAAATCCAAATACTAGTACGCCAATGAAGTTATTCTTCAACGACTTTTGAATTCCAAACGCTTGTAATGCTGATTGTGTCTGTTGAATTCTAATTGCTTGAATACAGACAGTGGGGTCTATAAATTTAATCCAATGGGCTGCAAGCTGTTGTGGATCAAGGTGGATTGTCTAGCCCTCAAGCTTCCAGTTTCTCTCTGTCCAATATATGTATGTATTTTTTAATCCAGCTGAGATTGTAACATATTGCATCTTCGGAAAGGAACTCTGGGAGTGTCTGGTATAAGACCCAACTTACTAGTATTCAAGCTGCTGTGGCTCAGTGTACAGTGTCTGCTCATCGTTATTAAGGACACGCAGTTTGTGAGGAAGACGTGGGTTCGAGTCCCACTAGCGGCATCGCCATTTGTTGACCAGATTTTTTATCTTAAATCTTAAAATGATATTGCCTGTCAACGCCTTCCAATGCTCCGGGCAAGTAAATCAACGTCTGGTGAACTAGAATTCTGAAATCCCTGAATTCGTCCGCCCACACACACGATGCACTGTATATAGGCTGGGTCTGTGTTGAAAACCCGGAATGGGAAGGGTGGTATAAGGAACCTACATTTATTTCTGTGCAAGCTGCTGTGGCTCAAGGTAGCGTGTCCTCCTCTGGTAGACTGAGGTCATTCTCATTTGTGAGGAAGGTGTGGGTTCGAATCCCACCAGTAGCATCCAGCTCCATTTTGTGTCTTTTTATATTTTTGCCGGTTGGTTGTTTTCGTGCTGGATTTTCGAAGTTCTTCCTCTCAAGCTTTACCATGTACACTTTTTTCGAGTCACGATGTCTGAATCCGAATTCCAGCTGAGTGGAACACTGATTCCGATGTTCAAAAAGTGCTCTACCAAGTGTGTGGTATAAGGTCCCAAATCTAATGATACTCAAGCTGCTGTGGCTCAATGTAGAGTGTCCTCTCCATGTGTGGAATTGAAATGGTAGAATGTGAGGAAGGCGTGGGTTCGAATCCTACCAGCAGCATATAGCTCAGCGCAAGGCTCTTTTTTCTTTTTTACAAAAAAGTCAATTTTGTTTGGTTGACTTGTTTTTTCAAAAGACCATTTCAGTATCTGAATCATCATCCTTGCCGAGCTGAACGCTTTTCGTATGGCCACCTGGTGTACTTTCCAAATTCCATCGTTGGCATTGATAATTACCCTGGCTCTGAGATTGGTAATCAGGTACCCGCGAAGTGGCAGGTATATTGAACATAATTTTGTGGTGTCCAAGCTGCTGTGGCTCAGTGTAGAGCGCTCCCTCAATCTTGCCGCTCTGTCAAGGATTTTGAAGAAGGCGTGGGTTCGATTCCCACCAGTAGCATATGTTTGCGAGATGATATTACTTCTCTTTTTTCTTTCTCGTTGCCTTAGCGTGTCCAGCTGAATACAAATCAAGTGTGAACCTAGAGCTTCCTGTTTCTCTCTGTCCAATATATCTACATGTATTTTACTCGCAGCAGGTAAGATTAACATATTGTCCCCGGGTAACGGGGAACTCAGAAAATCAGTGGTATATGGAACCTAATTCGATGGTATTTAAGCTGTTGTGGCTCGGTGTAGAGCATCTTCTGATGATGGTCGAAATCTCTGCTGTTTACGAGGAAAGCGTGGGTTCTACTCCCATCAGCAGCATACGAGGATGTTGAGAAGTTTTTTTTAGTTCTTCAAATGTTTAATGGAAACAAAAATGACACTCGAAACGCCAGCCCACTGGCAGCAGATTCGTCTGTGTGTCCAATTTTCTTTTCTTTTCCATAGGTGGGCCGTAGCGTGTAATAGTTAGTTATAGTGGAAGGTGTTTTTAATAGTGTAGGGTATGATGAGCCTAGTTTGATTGGTATTCATGCTGCTGTGGCTCAATGTAGAGTGTTCTCTCAATCTATCAAACAGACCACCGAGATTTTAGGAAAACGTGGTGGGTTCGACTCCCACCAGTGGCATCGCCAGTCAAAGAGAGATTTTTCTTCCTCTTTGCCTCAATACCAATCGAGTGGATGGACCTCGAGCTTCCAGTTTCTCTGTGTGCGATGTATGGATTTTATTTCCGGGAGGGAAGATTGCAGCATGCCATGATATTGCAACTTCGGAAAGGAACTCTGAAAGTGTGTGGCGTAAGGAACACAATTTAATAATGCCCAAGCTGCTGCGGCTCAGTGTCGAGCGTCCTCTGATCTTGAATCGTTCTGAATTATCGGAGGAAAGTGTGGGTTCGAATTGGTGTTCTGGTAGTTTTTTTTTCGTTTTTTCGTTTATGCCAGTGGTTTTACCTGCTCGGTATATATTATGACTTGCATACCGAAAAACAAACAGGTATCATATGTAAACGCAAGGAAATAAAACAAGCGGTTCTGAAACGCCGGCCCGCCCTCGCACGTGCAGTTCTGATGGGTGACGTATAATTGCCTCACAAATCATTTTGCGGCTGACTTCCGAATCGGCTTGTCGTCTCGTCTCCATCGCCATGGACAACGCCGACTCGCCAGCGCAACTGTCCTCGTCGAGCACCACACCAAGCTCATCGTCGTCTCCGTCCCCCGCACCCCCCTCGACGTCGGTGGCAGCAGCGAGCACGATGACAGAGACGGAGACGGAGACAGAGACAGACCCCACCCTCATCTTCCTCGCCTCCGCCAACGCAGGCTTCGACCACCTCTTCGCCAACAACATCGCTCAAGCGCGCATGGCCTTTGCGTCTCCTCCATCCTCTTCCCCGGGATCCCCTTTTCATTTATTAGGCCTAGGCGTATGCGCCTTCCTCGAAGCCGCGCTGGGGATGGAGAGCGGGCTGATGGCGGAGGCGGCGAGATTACTCGCTGCGAGTGAGGCGGGGGCGAAGCGCGCTGTGGCGGATGCGAAGGCGCGGAAGGGTGTGGTGACTTCGAATTCAAATAACAATGGCATAGGGCGGGGAGACGGAGGGGGCCGGTTCGCCCCTGGGCTGGAGTACGAGATATTGCAGGCGGACGCGGTGGTGCTGTTGGGGCTTACGCATGCGTTGTCGTGCGTCTTTTCTCTTCTCCCCCTAACTCTTCTTTTTATCTTTATTCTTTTATTCCATACTAATAAGGTTTAAAGTGAATCCTACATGGGCTACTTCCAATGCATGTACGCCCTCAACGCCGCGCACTCAAAGTTTACGAAACTGTACAAGACCGTGTTCCCCGCTGGGCTTGATGCATACTCCTCCTCGAATGGATCCGTCACGACGGTGAACGGAACCGGAAACGGCTTACGCTCCCCTTCCCTGCTCTCCGTCTCCACCTCCACCTCCATCGCCAACTCCAACTCCGCGTCGGTGCCCACCACGCCCACCACGCCCTCGAACTCATCATCCCGCTCAAGCCCCGCGCCTTCGACTATCGGCGTCCCCGCGCCCGCCCCGGCGCCGGCGAAGAGTATATTTGGAAGGTGGGGCGCGAGTACGGCGAGTTTGTTGGGCGGGTCGAAGAACGCGAGCACCGTGAGCCTCGTGGCGAAGCCGAGCGCGGAGCTCGACAAGGCGCAGATTGAGCGGGCGGAGGCAGAACGCAAAGAGCGGGAAAGACCCGCGGAGGGCCCGGTGGAGGAGATGGTGGTTGCTGGGACTGCGTTTGGTGCGTTCCCTCGCTCTGTCTGTTTTTTTTCCCCCTGTTTTTGGTATATTCGTCGCGGCTCTTTGGGCGTTTGCGCGTCGGGCGGACGATGGACGAGGGGGCTATAGTTATGGTTATGATTATTCTCCCCTGCTCCCTCTGCCATCGTCGCGCGCCTGCCGAGTTCGTGGATTTTTGTGGGCTTGCGTCCGATGCCACCAGGCGCGCCGGCGCATCTCAGTTTTGTTGGCGTTCTGGCGCGTGCTCGTCTGCGATGATGCATGACGCCGTCTAGCATCGCGCCGTCTTGTAGCGTCGCTCCGTCTTCGAGCGTCGCGCGCCTGTCGACTCCGTGGATTTGTTGGCCTGCGTCCGATGCCACCGGGCGCGGGCGTATCTCAATTTTTTTTTTTGGCACGCGCTTGCGGTGACGCGCGCGTCGTGGCATGTTCGGTGGTGGACGATCAACCTGAATCTGCGCGCAGCAAACAAGGACGGCTGCACATATTTTCTTTTCTTTCGTTTCCCTTTTCCCTCTTCCTTCTTCATTTATCTGGGCTTCACTTTTCTGCTTTTCTACGTTTATGTGTACCAACGCTAACGACTCACACAGGCTTCGGCCTCTTCAACCTCGTGTTTTCGCTCCTGCCGAAGAAGGTGCAGTGAGTGCTTCTCTTCCTATCCTTTCGTTTTCTATTCTTCTGTTTCTGTCGATGTGGTTTTTCGATGCGGTGCGGTGCGGTGCGGTGTTGCTCTCACTGCCTTTTCGATTTTCGATGCGGTGCTTGTCTGCGCTTGCTACGGGAGCGAGACGAGTGGATCCGATGCGGTACTTGTCCTTGTTTTATGCCGGAGCGGGGACGGGGGTGGAGGAGAGGAGAGGGGTGGCTTCGGCGAGTCGGACGGTGTGGGACGCCGGCGCTACCCAGGAGCGGGAGGAGATCAGATCAGCGCGCGGCGCGGGGATACGGGCGCTTGACGACCCGCGAGCGCTGCGGATGAGCGTGGCCGATACGAGCTGTGGTTCTCGGCAAGGGCTGGGATCAGCGGGTATGCGTTTGTGTTCTTGCTATACGGAGCTGGGCGCTTGCCCGCCAACAGACGGGCTCGACTAGTTGCTGCTCGCATGCTTATTTCTTTCTTCTCTTCAAACGCGTATGGCGGTGCGAGTAATGAAAGAGTACTGACGATCCTTTCTCTCTCAAAAAAAACTATAGATCACTTGTAGGCCTCCTCGGGTTCAAGCACGACCGCGCGTTGGCGTTGAGGGCGTTGGCGGTGCGTTTCTTTTTCTTCTTTTTGGTTGGCTTTTTTTCTTTCTTTTTTGCGCGACTTCGTGTACGAGTCTTCGACGTCAGCGATACTTCGTGTCCGGGACCTTGCGCGTTTTCTGTTTCGTTGGGTTTTTGTTCGGGCTCCAGGTCCTGCGAGATCGAGAGGCTTTTCGTCGCGTCGCGCGGATCGTCCACCCTCTGGTTTTTCTTTTTCCTTCTGTGTCGGGTGGGCGCGCGGCGCTGTAGCTCCATCGCGAGTTGGCTCCGTTGGACGAGGCTTCGTGGGGTGGGGCGGATCTGACCCCGGCGTATTTTTGTTGACGAGCGCCGAGGCGGAGGGGATCTGAATACCTGCTCTGCTCTGCACTTCAGCGTCGGGTGTCGGGTCTGTGTCTCCGCTGAGTGGTGGATGCGTATTCTGTCTGCGCTCGATACACCGTCGTTGATATTTCGTTCTTTCTCTTATCTTATCTCTTATCCCTTATTTCGCCTTTCATTTGAGTATACCAATGTATGTACCCATGCTGACTCCCCGACAAACAGGTCAGCGCAGGCGTGAACACGCTCGGCGAAGGCGGTGCGCCGACGGGGAAAGATGTGCATGGGGTGTTTGCGGGGTGCGTCATCTTTTCCTTTCAGTCTCGCCTCCTTGGTGTTCATTTTATTATTATTTTGGCTGACGCTCGCACCTTTTATGTTGTTGTTCGCTCGCTAACGTACAAACAGACTCGTCCTCATGACCTACCACGGCGTCGTGCTCCTGCTCGCGGGGTACCAGGCGGACGAGGCGCGCACACTGAGGGTGTACAAGGCGATTGTGGATGGGTAGGTTTCCTTCTTTTGTTTGTTTCTCCTTTCTCCCTCTTCATACTTTTGTCTTGGATGTCGGCTCTTGCTTCTGTTTTACTTCGTCGCGCGCGAATGTCTCGGACTCTGTCCTTTGTATCAGATGTCTGCTCTGCTCGATGGTGGAGCAATCGAGTAGACTCTACTCGCCTGTGTAGCTGCGTCGCGGCGTGGGCTCAGCGAAACAGCCCGCGTTCATACATAGAGATATTCATTTCACCGACCGATACTGACGCCTCTTTTTTTTTTGACAGGATCCACGCGCGCTATCCGACGGGGGCGTTATGGATTTTGAACCGGGTACGTTTCGCATATCTCTTTCCATGCTCCCCACCATCTCCCATAAACCTTCGTCCCATTCCGATTTTGACGCTGGTGTTGGATTGGGGCTGGAGCTCTCGCCAACTTGATTCCCCCTCTTTTCACACTTTACCGATGCGGATCATGGAACATTTGCTAACACTCGCTCACAGGCCAAAATCCTGCGCATGTCTAACGACCCGCAGGGCGCGATCGCGGTGTTGCAGCGCGCGCTCGAGGCGCCGCAGACGTTCGTGCAGGCGGATACGTTGGTGCGTTCTTGTTCTTCATGTATTTCTTTCCGGGAGATCCGTTGTGGCGAAAACGTACCCTCGCGTCATTAACGGCTACCCGGTTGAGGAGATGGGTCGGGAGCGGAGAGAAGTTTGATGCTTTTTGTTTTATTTTATTTTCCGCGCGTCCTTGATATGGTGCTGACTCTCCTTTATTTTGATAGCTCGTCTTCGAGCTCGCGTGGACGCTCCTTGCGCAGCGCCGGCACCAAGAGGCCGCGGATGCCTTCGTGAAGCTGACGGAGCTTAATTCTTGGTGTGTCCTTGTCTCCTCTTCTATCGTTCCCGCGACGATCTCGTTCCTTGCTTTGCACCACCATTCATCCTCCCCGCTCCTTTTTCTCGCATACCTTCCCCGAAAACCCAAATTCGAGTAATTAACGAGACCCCAGGTCGCACGCAACCTACTACTTCATCGCCGCGGGGTGCTACATCTCGCTCGGAAACCGTACCAAGGCGCAGGAGCTACTCGACGCGCTGCCGGACCTGCTGCAAAGGAAGAAGGTGGGCGGGAAGGATCTGCCGACGGAGGTGTTGATAAGGAAGAAGTGTGCGTGTCTCCTCGTTTTTTGTTTTTTCGCGCGAGGGGGCTGTACGAGCCGCATTTTGCGCTTTGTTTCTTTGGACGCGCAAGGAGTGAATGGTGGATGATCGC